GTCAAAGGAAATGTGTGTCTTTACTATTTCGAATTATCTTCTGTACATACACGTGTAATTTTGCTTATCTTTTGAATATTTACATGAATTAATTATTTATTTTGCAGTGTATTTACTCCGTCAATAGACAATATCTCAATGTGGTTTTATTAGACGGTATGTTCCTTTTTTTTGTATTGTTTGACTTAAATCGAATTGAAATGATTTATCATAACAATGCTTAACATACAAGTTTATTATTAGTAATGTTCATTTAAAGAGAAAGAGTTGATTCTGAAAATAGAAAAAGAAGAAACGTGAGACAAAATATGAATTCCATTTTAAAACAAATCCTATTTGAGAATTAATGATACCTTTTGTCTATTCTCTGAACTTATATAAATTTTAATGATTTCATGTTACAAGTTTCTTTCTGTAAGTAATAGTTTAATTATTTTCTATTATTTAAATAAATTATTTAAATATATAAAATCTTTTATAGTCCTAATAATTTTTATAACCATTGACATAAACAGTTTATGTTACAATATAATAATTAAAAAAAAGGCATTCTTAATTTTTTTAAATTGATTTTTGCAAAAGTTAAGATCCTCACATATTCGATCAATACTTGGGCAAAAAATCATTCTGTTGTCATAATTTATTTAAAATAAATATAATATTATATTAATTATATCGCAAGTAAATCAAGGGAATACGAGATTGAATGCGGGATGATGTAGTTAAAAAAAAGCTTCACTCCTACGTGATATTCGATGACGTCGTGTGCGAAGCCACAAAAATTCACACGTATCATCTTACTCGCAATACCCACTTTCCATTAACGTAGATTTAAGTCGCGATATCGAGTAACTAATCCAACATAAAATCTAATTTAAGATCTACACAAATCTTGTTTTGTTGTGATTATATTTTATATTAATAGCCGCAGAAAAATATCCGCAAGTGCAACTCAATTTCAACAGAAAGCTCGTAGAAGCTGATTTGGAGAAAGGAAAGATGAAGTTTTTAAAGTGAGTGAGTGAATAATATTATTATCGGAAATTAATATTTTGTCCTATTTAATTAGTTTCTTGTCTGTAGTACTCATACGGGGGCAACGGAAGACGCGAAAGTTGATTTGATAATTGGTGCCGACGGCGCGCATTCGACAGTACGAAAAATTATGGCTAGAAGACCGCTCTTTAATTGCGCTCAAACATATATCGAACATGGATACGTGGAATTGTCTGTGCCGTGTAAAGAATACAATGAAGTGTGTACCGTAAAATATATAACTTTAGTCTAAATTATGATAATGTCCAGACAGCACGCATGTCCAAAATCGAAAAATGTTAAAAACGTCTTAACCATTCGTGATCCAGATAGAAAAATTCAATTCATGGTAAGCTATGTGGAGCATCTCATACTCCATGCTATACTTCACCATAAGTACATGAATTTAGTATGACTGGCAACGTTATAATTCCAGTTAACGCTACGCGAAACGGCAACTTGCGCGCAGTATTTTTTAAAAAATTATAGAAGTTTATTTGCTGGGGTATGTTACACCCTACCTAGTTTACAGAAAGTCAAAGACGGTTCAAATCTTATATCCTAACGTTGGACATGCGTGTTGCTACATATTTTTTTAAATTTAGACCAAAGTTATTCCAACTGGGTCAAAGTTTCCAGATTTTATGGTATGAAAGAAGCATCGTCGTTTTTAATTAATCCTTTTCAAACATTTTGTTATATGGATTTAAAAAATATAATTAAATGAAAGGATTCTCAAATTTTATAAACAAATAATACAACAAATGACGGGGCTAATGAGAGTTAGGTAACAATATGCGTAAGTATAATACAGATATACATTTAACCATTATATCAAACATAAGAACGTTTGGTTTCACTTTGAGCCATCCTCATTAAGATAAAATGATTAAACTTCTCGTTTTCATTTGCACATGGTAAGGATTCCGTTGTCAAGAATAAGTTAACGTTCCGTCACAATCGGTTAATAGGCCGAGTGATCATTCATCTTATATAGCCATCCTAAAAGTGATCGAACAGAGATTCAACTTTTATAATTGTATGAATAAAACTACAATGTCATCAAATGCAGCTTAAAATTGAAGTCCAATTACAAATAAGTAGTGACGAGTAATGTCCTATAATAAAATTCGTAACAATAGTAGAGTCAATCATTAATAATTATAGTCAGTTAAATTATAACATAAAGAAAATTTCTAAACTCAACCAAACAGTATTAAAATCAATGTTAGATATCTTACATAAAACAACTGTGATATACCCAGCGTTTCAAGAGCTCTCTCCTTCAAATCATACATCACTAATCTAAACTTGCTAAAACGAGTGATAACGGTGAGCTCATAGGTGTTCCAGAATTCTGTTTACAGTTTCTATCATTAAAAGAAAAATATGTAGAATAAAGAATCATTTTTAGTGCTGTAATAAATTTATCTTTCGGAATAATATCTGATATGAAATTTCTGAAATGAAATTTTATCTTCTCATAACGCTATCAACAGCTGAATCAATAGAGATATTCGTAAATTCGTAAAAAGAGAGAATCATCAAGAGAAATAAAAGTTTAATTGTCATCAATAAAAGAATCTTTAAATTTGTCAATTAATTGAAAGCTATTATCATTGTGACTGCATTAGCTTCTTTTTACATAGATTGATTATTTCAAATGAACCTAAATTAAACCTTCTTGTCAAATGGAGCCCATTTTTGTATATTTGATATAATGATTTAAATATATATGTATTTGTATTATACTTATGTATCATTAACTGCGACTGGTTCTTATTAGCCCTGTCATATGAATTTATTTAAACTTTTTGTTCCCTTTAAAGTTTGCGATGAGCGGTAACAACCTTCATGTTTGGCCGCGTGGTGAATTTATGATGACCAGCCTTCCGAATGAGAATCACACGTTTACTGGCAACTTGTTCGCTCCGTTTCGTGTGTTCGAAAAATTGAAGACGCGCGAGGCATTGTTGAGCTTTTACACTGAACATTTTTCGGATCTTCTGCGATTGATCGGTGAGGAGAAACTAGTGGAGCAGTTTTTCGAAAAAGAACCACAAACTTTAATATCTATTAAGGTTAATATATTCTGCGATCGATCGATTTATTAGATTTTAGTATAAGTATGATCTAACTTCTTGCATCTTACAGTGTAAACCTTATCATGTTGGGAAAACCGCTGTTATAGTTGGAGACGCCGCTCACGCCATGGTGCCTTTTTATGCTCAAGGAATGAATACTGTAAGTTATTTTATCGAATTGATTTGAGGACCAAATTACTTCGCGACACTTGCAAAGAAAAAAATAGACTGTAACTGTTGCTCATCATAACGAAGTTTATTAGAAGTTATCGCTTTTTTACTTTAAAAGTGATACAATAATTCAAAAACTATTTTTTTAAATGATAGAAAATTACTCACTAATTAAATAAAATCTACGAATGAAATATATTCTTAATTAATTCAGTTAGTTTATGTTTAATGATTGGCAAGGTAAAATGTTTATTTAATTAAATATTATTAAATATTATGCATGATAATAAATCGAAAATTGCGTTTTTTTTAGTTATATCATTTTTGAAGTGAGAAAGCTATATGTTACCATCCGCATAGCAATATTACAGGTTGCAGCAATACTGCTGCAAATTTTGTGCTGTTGAAGATAAATAATAGAATTTGCTTTTATGATAATTAATCATTTTATTACGTTAGGGTTTCGAAGATATTTTAGTGCTCGATGAATTAATGGAACGTTACGATTCAAACTTCGCAAAAATTCTACCAAAATTTTCGGAATTACGATGCGACAATGGGCACGCAATATGTGATCTCGCAATGTATAATTATATAGAGGTACATATTAATCAAATTTATCTACTATTGTTTTCGAATATTCATATATTGTTGATTCAAAATTAGTTTTTAAATTGTATCTTTCAGATGAGAGATTTAGTGACGAAAAAGTCTTTTCTTTTTCGAAAGTTCGTAGACAAACTTTTATTCACTCTTGTTCCCAATTTCTGGATACCGCTTTATTTTGCCGTGCAGTTTACTCGCATGAGTTTTCGTGAATGCATAGCGCACAAAGAGTGGCAGGATAAGGTATGGGTAAGATATAGCAAGCGATACAATGCATGCAGCTACAAAAATTATCTCTTATATTACAGGTATTGAGAATGAGTATTTTTTATCTCGCATTTCTGAGTTTTGCTGTCTTTAGCTGTTCCTTTTTTCTAAAATGAAATGTGAATTCGATTGTTGCCAAATATTACCAACAAATTGTGATTCAATGATATACGGATAACGTAACTAATTTTTATAAGAAATATTTCTACGCATTTAATTATGTCATACAAATTTTTATAGTTTTATGTATAACACTTACTAATGACTAAAAATTACTCAATTTATGTATAACTTAAATTCAATTAATACAATTTTAATAATTTTATTAATTACTAACATGTATATTTTATAAAATGAAATACAAAAAGATACCTATTATTATTTATACAATAAACTTATTGCATACTTGTGAGCATAAATCGTACAACTTAATTTTTAAATATTAAAAAAATTTGATTTTAATTTCTTTTAAAAAATAACATTAATTTTAATAGTGACCTAAATATGTTTCTGACAAACAAGGATACATATTTCTCATATACGTAATATAAAAACCACAGCAATGATATGTAATTAAATTCTGTTCAAATATATTTTTTTGCGTCTTTATAAGTTTCGACTTTGCTTTCAATCTAATTATTGAAAATGTGTGTGTTTGTCAGTGAATTTATATCAAATTAATAATATAATAGTGTACAATTAAAATCTCTTAATTGTACATAAAATCTTTCAAAATCTTTCTATGTTTTTAAATAGTAACAATCTTTATAATGGAAGTTTGAAAACATGACAAATTTTCATTTTACGTTATATCATACATACATTCGAACAAAAATGTCATAGTTCGAGAGTAACATTATCTGCATTTTTTATATAATTATACTTTTGCGTTTCGAAAAGTTCAACTAAACTTTTCATAAATTTTTCGTGGTATTCGTTGATTTGTTCAGTCGTGGGTTCAGCTATTTTTGGTAGTTCAACAGGACTGCCAACTATAATGAAGAGAAACATAAAAAAATTATATATATATATTTGAATATATAGAATTAGAAACATGAGATAATTAGCAATTTAATATGCGCATTAATATTTGCATTGCACCAATGAATAATATCGAATATATATAAAGAGAACTTTACCGACTACGGTGACAGGTAATCGCTTCGGAATAAGACCAAATGAATACTGAAAGAATCCTCTGCCCGAAACAACGACAGGTGCTAGTCCAATAATGCTGCGAATATAATTCTGTATGCGTCTGAAAGTCGATCCTTCTGGGCTATATATTTGATTGTACAAATCCGTTTCGCCAAAAGAGAGGACAGGAACCAACGCCGTACTGAAACAAAGAGTTATATTAGATTTCAGTCGTGTTGAATATGATTATTATGAGTAATTATTATACTATCGTACTTTATATTTTCCTATATTTTCACTTATGATTTACATTTTATAAAAACTATATATGGTAGATATTAGTAAAAAAAACGATATTTTTTACTTCGGAGGAAAGTATCAAGTGAAACACTAGTTTTTTACTGTAAATAACGGTATTTTTTACCAAACTACATAAAATTTATGAAAAAACATATAGTTATTTCAATGTAATTATTTGAACGACAGATATTTTATATTTAAATCTAAATAGTGATATTATTAAAAAAGTGATATTATTAATACAGATAATACTTTATAAGCATAATAGATACCATTTTTAAATACTGGTTATAGTTGTACTGTATATTTTAAGTATTTTGTATTCTATATCTTAATTATTTTAAGACAACGTCCCAATATAATTGATTCAAGAGTAATTAGAGATTCGATAAACGTTGTCTTACTAATTTAAATTTAGAATATGTGTAATTACAATTACAGTATACGACAAAAACAGTGTCAATTATTGTAGTAAGGTATTATTTGTATTAATAACAGTATGGAACACTTATTTAACATTTAAAATTGAAGTACAGTATAAAATATCATTCAAATAATATAGTGGTAAGGTATATGGTATTTATAAAAATGAGGTATATTTATAGCTACCGACGTATTACTGTATTAATCATTATATTATATTTTAACTATTTTTACACAGAAATCTTACGAATAAGTGCAAAAACTAAATTCTGGAATAATAGTACAGCGTCGAAGTCGTGAAATGCTAAAAACAATATCCGAGTAAAAAACAGAGTCAAAATCGAAGGAAAAAACCATTATTTCTCGAGTTTTTTATCCTAAAATTTCAGGATTTTATTCCGTTGTTTATACCCTCCCTTCTCTCTCTCTCTCTCTCTCTCTCTCTCTCTCTCTCTCTCTCTCGCCTCTCCCCCCCTCTCTCTCTTTCTAGGTGTTACATGAACACAGAATGAAAAACAGTTTTTTCTTGAGATATGATTTTGCTTAACGCATATAAAAACTATAATATTAACAGGTTGCCTATCATAGAAATATTATTATGTCATAGTTAAAAATTATAGCTTCTTTATTTCAAAAATGACACGACTAAAAAAATTAAGTTTCTGATAAAAGAAAGAGAGAAGAATTGTTTTCCAACTCGATAGAAAATTATTGACTAATTATATAACATCGGAAGAAAGAATATCACGTAAAAAAGTATTTTACTGCTCCAGCTAAAATTATAACTGTTTTTTGTATTTGAAAAATTATGTATCATACGCATAGAATTTATAGCACAAATCTAAATTCCATCTCTGTTATCTATATAATTAGGTGCAATACATATCCAATATCACAGTACTTATTAGAAATTTATCTATTTTAACTATTTTTCGTATTTAGATAATTTTCGCTATAACCGTAAGATCACTTTTTGGAGTGTATATTCTTTTATTTCGCAACATTTAAAAAACAATCCTTTTTGAGTGTTGTGATAATTTTTTATAAAGTTAAGTTAGTTCACTTTTAATGATTGATAGAATAATGTATCTAACTCATTCATGCGATAATAACTTGAAAATTACACTTTTTAAGTCACTTTTAAAGTAAGGAAGCGATATATTAATATGTTAAAAGTATATAATTCACCCGTATTTTAGTGCCAGTTTCACAAATCCTTTTCTTCTTTTTATGATGACACGATAAGTGCCCGGCGTTGATTCCATCGATTCAGAAGCACCACCAACAATAAGAACTGTAGCTTTCCCGGTATATGGATCTTTTGGTGGTGTCGATAATAAATACTTGATACTTCTCACGCTAGAAGCACAACTACCTATAAATGTTCGATAATTTATAATCAAATTACAGAAAGAATATAGCTTTCTAAATGGTCATCAGTGATTTAAAAAAAAAGATATATATATATAATATATATAAAATTTTCATCAATTTTTTAAAGCAGACAAAACGGTCCATATATGCAAACCGATGAGAAAAAAATTTACTAAATTTTAATAAATATTTTTTTGAATAGTCCTAGCGGAATATTTACTAAATGTAAACACATATTTATTAAATACAAGAACCATGAGTTCTTATCATGAGTTTGTATCATTTTTTTCATATATCTAAATATTTATCTACCGTAAATAAATATTCCGCTAGGACTATTCAAAGAAATATTTAATAAACTTTAATAAATTTTTTTTCTCATAGTGTATGATAACGTGTGTGAATACGTGTATGAATTACATTTTTTATACGAAAAAATTATTTGAAGTAATCTCCTCTATAAATAAGAAATATTGATGTAATATAATAAAATGTAATAAGATGTAATGATTCAATGGCTACGTTTAACAGAGAAAGTAACTTTGCTATTTTTACAAAATTTTTTATGATTGGTTTATTCATTTACCTAATGAGAGGAACTAAGGGCAAGATTAATCATATATTATGGAGTTTTACAACAGTTGCAAAGTTACAAAATTGCATTGTCTACTGAACGCAGCCTATATATATATATATATATATATTTTAGTTGCATATATTCAATAGATTATTTTATATATATTATATATATAATTTTTTAATGCATACTATAATTCTAATATATTAATATTCAAATATTGAAAGTACATTTAGTATACTATTACAAAATTCATCTGCAGTTAAGCGAGAAAAATTTAATGAATGGCAAGAACTATGAATTTTTACCTAAGAAATAAGGATATTCTCTGAATAGAGGTATTTTGAAGTGTTGATCGAGAGTGATTAGACGGATTTCAAGTCCGGGAAATAGCTTCTTGCAATCCAATACGTCTGTTGCAAATGAACCAATTATTCCAATCGATAAAATACCATGAGGTACACAAACGAAAAAATAAGATTTTTTGGGATCTAGATCTACCGTCTTCACTAATTTTAACGGAAAATAATTACAAAAATAACGCCAAAACACGTTGTTTCGTACCATTCTTGTCCACTGAATCTCACTGAAATGTAAAATATAGCTATTTTCAAAACATTAATAATTCATCAAGGAACTACGCGAGGGGATAACCACTTAATGTAATCATGGGACAGAATCCTCGAAATCATTATAAAATTCATATGAAATCTTTATGTGTAATCCGATAATTATATATGCAATCAGAAGAAATCATTGTATAATATTAAATAACATCGTATATTTTACCGAATTACTTCATATGTAATGAAAAAAGTTATTTGTAATCAGATGAAATCGTATGAAATCATATAATCTGTGGGACAATATTTCAGCTAGTGGTTACCCCCTCGGAACTACGTCAATGACAACAAAAAAACGTACGAAAAGTTGTGCTGCGCACCTTGCATTTATAAAATTGTTGATAAGATGTGATTATGCGGAAATTAAACGTAAATTATAATATTTGTCTTAGTTACATCATGTGCTTATAATTTAAATCATACACGGCTGAAGAAGACTAATGCCTACGAGTCTTATGATTCTAAGCAGAATAAGACTCGTAACATATTCCTGTAAGACTTGTAAGAATTTTTAAGTGCTAATGCCTTTATACAATATTTTTACAGACATCTTCTTACTAGCCATAAAATTTACAAAAAGAAATCTTAGATCGTAGATATTTACGAATAATCGTACATCTTATAACACATACGCATAAAATTAGAATATTAGTCATAAGTTCTTATACAAGTTTTTTATGAGAACACGTTGCGAGTCTTACGATTTTGCTTAGAATTGACCCATAAATCAAGTCGAAATGTACCGAGTTTCTTATATACATACACTGAGAAAAAAATGCTGTTGATTCAATTAAAGTCTATATTATGGGCTATCACTAGCATAAGTGATTAATTTATGTATATTTTTATTGACATAAAGACATAAATTATTATTTCAATAATCAAGGCCTTTACGCCAATAAAAATATATATGAATTAATTACTTATGTTAGTGACAGCCCGTAATATAGATTTTAATTGAATCAACAGCATTTTTTCTCAGTGTATATATATTAATAAATCAATTATTTTATCTGTCACCCAATTATACTCGTTTTTAAAAATTGACCTTTATTATTGTGTTTGTTTTTTCTTTGCACACATACAAGCGATAACAATATTTATCTTCTACACTAATTAATAATTCATGTTTCTAAAAAGTTTAATTATTGCAGCTAAAATTATTCTCTTATATAAAATTCAATAAATATTCATAAACACTTTGTTATGTATGAGTGTATTTAGTAGAACGCAACAATTTTGCAACCGTTTTATTATTTTTTGCTAAATACGATCCTAATCGCATTCAACGTCTCAATATTACTCCGAGATTGCTATGATTTCCAGCAAAGTAAAAGTACTCTGAGTCTCAAGCAAAACATATTGATCTTCATGAAAACATGTTGGTCATCATTCATGAAAGAGATGTTCCTAATGTATCATTCTCTCTTTTTAAACACTTACAACATAATAGATACACCGAGAGAAAAATGTACTAAATTTTAATAAATAATTATTTGAAAAGTACTAATATAACATTTATTTATGGAAAATGAATATTTACTGAAATATTTATTAAAATATAATAATAGATAAATTAAATCGATTCTTGTACCAAATAAATATAGTATGTTACGTTTAGTAAATATTCAACTGATACTATTCAAACAAATATTTATTAAAATTCAGTACATTTTTCTCTCAGTGTACTTTTGAAATATATAAAAAATTACAAAATGGTACGTATAAATGTTAATATGAGAAAATAAAAATATATATAATTATAATTTAAATAAATTTGAGTTAGCATTACGGTTACCACTTTATCTAATCTTTTTTTGAACTTTTAGTAAAAAATATGCATTTTAGCATTTATATCAAAAGAGCGTTCAGCAGAACACTCAATATGTTGGAACTTATCAATAAACTGTTGTGCAATAGTTGCGTTCTACTGAACGTACCCATTTACTGTCTTGCGCTAAGCAATTATTTTCAAGTGATTGTCAAGATTTTTATTTATCGACTACTAAAAAAGAGAGATTAATATCCTTACCTTCTACCACCACTATGGCAAGTGTCCCAATCGTAATACATCCAGAGGAAATATAGTAACAAAAAATAGCGTATCGTTTCTGTATAGAATATAAGATAAACCGTAATTAGGTATCCCCAAAAATTCCCGAAAACGGTGAGAAAAATCCATATCGCAACAACTAGCGTTTGTAGTCTTCTTTCCAGAGGTACGTTTAATGGTGCAAATTTCACGCCCAGAATTTCCATGTTCCTCACTAAAAATATCTTCGATCAAAATTCAAATCATCGGATTCAAAAACCGATTTTTCGTTTAATTACCTAGTATGGGTTGCGTATATAAAGTTCGGTTCTATTAATACAAAGGAAAAAGTAAAATAAAACCTATAATTTAAAACAAAATAATTGACCTAAGCCCAAATTCCACCAATGTAAGATTAACTTTATCTCGATTCAATTTACTTTTCATCTTTCTAGTTCTAAGAATTAAGAGAAATAAAGTCAATTTTGTATTAGTGGAACTTGAGCTTAGATCAATTAGTTTTTTTAATTAGAAATTATAAGTATTGTTTTATTTTTTCTATAATAACCGCTTGCATCGCTTCATCGGCTGACCGTGGATTTAATATGAATTGGCACTTTATCAAGCGGACGCACAAAGTCTATCTTTGATTTCAACAAGAAACGAACTTTGTATATTTATCTATCCTATTTCCTACAGCTTACTCAGTACAGAGTCGCAAATCGATTGTTTATTTAATTCTTTACACTACAATCGTTTCCATCTTTTTCTCATTTCTCGATCATAATTATATATTTTTTACTATACTATTTTTACTTCATGACATATGATAAGAAGAATGAAAAAATGCTTCAGCATGAATCATTTTTTTACTCTTTTACTCAATTACACGTTTATTTACCTGCTTACAGAGATAAATCGTAATCGCAAATTATCAATCTCTTTTTTTGCCCGAGCTTTAAGTAAAAGTATTTCTTTTTAATCTTTTACTCATAAAAAATGGTATAAATAGTATAGCCAATTTTTCACGATACATAAGACCAATTGTTCTTTGTTGCTACGCTGAACTGCACTAAAACTTTCTATCTCGCTTTCGCCAAACTTCAAATATATATCTGTTTCATTTTAAGTACAATGAGTGCATACTAGTCTAACCATAAAGAACAGACTTAAAACCATTCCATGATATTTTACTGCTTAATAGAATTTATTATGATAATTTCATATTAATATTTCACAAATTTATAGTGCTGTGTTATACTGATATGAAATTTTTAAGAGAGAAGAACGAACTGCCTTATCAAACTCTTATATTATCAATTGCCCTAGATACCAGCGATTTCGAATAGTTATCTAAAAGATATATTTTAAAATTATATTTTAAAATAAAAAAAGTCCAACTAGCAGATAGACATGTAAAGATATAATTGTGAAAATATCAGTTTGCTAAAAATATTTCAAGTGTCGCATTAGCTGTATTTTTCATAGACATAATAATATGAAGAGACTGAGCATTTCCACCAAGTTGTCACTATCGAGGTTTAGAATAAGGTAACTTGAATCGTGTCGTTTTCTCTCTTTCTCTCTCTCTCTAAATTGAAAAGAGATGCTGAAGAGAAAAGTAGCTACGATTCAATAGCTACATTTCTGACAGAGCATAGCTCCAGGAGGAGAAAGTCAAGAAATGGGCAGTCTATACCTGATCTAGACTTTACTTCTATGGTATTTTTTAAGATTGTAACAAATATAATCAAATAGATTGATTCTAATACAAATAAATCTGTCGGAAGTAACAAATAAATTCGATTATTGTTTACAAAAATGTTATTTACATTTAAATTTTCACATAAACTGTAAAATTTTCAAATAATGTGAAACAAATTCAATTTATAATGCAACTTCTGTTATGCGATAAAATTCGAGCGATTTTACTCCGAACAGTTCGATCACACGCGAAGATTCACGCTTTTCAAATTTACCTAGATTGCTGCGGCTATCTCGGCAACAGGTACAAATTTTTGGATTGCACTTTTTCTTTTAGTATAACACCAGGTCAGACTGTCGTTTTCTACAGATAAGGTAATACGTTTCAACGTAATATGGCGGCCACGTGTATGCGCCGTGTGTAAATATCTTGCGACAACTTCCACACGAAACGTTTGGCACGGCGTCACGTATCTTACTAATAGGATCGTCACTAGCACGACAAGAAAGCATGTCCGACGGAGTTCACAAATGGTTACTCATTCACACATGTACAGACAGATGGACGATCGTCCATGAATGAAATTCGAACTCAAATCGTTCAGTCAAAATCCGACGTTGAGACTCATTCATTTCAGTATAAATCGCAGTGTTTATCTTTAATTATACTTAACAGTTGAATTATGATTTTTTAGATTATACATCATTAACTCAATATTTTGTCACATAAATTTATATATAAAAGAGAGAGTTCATAAGCCTCTACTATCTGCATCATTTGATTATCGGAACTGCCTTGTCATTCAACATGTTTAGATAAACGGACTTCTATTGTATTAAAAAAAATATATATATTTAAGTTTGAATTTGAATTAAAATAAAAATTGCCCATTCAGATTTTTCTAGCATTGTAGTTTAATAAATATCATGTTAGTATGCAATCACATGTTAAATATCATTAATAAGTTATGATTAAATATGTTATAAGAGTTCGAGAGTAACATTTTCTGCATTTTTTATGTAATTATGCTTTTGTGTATTGAAGAATTCAATTAAATGTTTTATGAAATGTTTTATGTTTTCTAGTGTTAATTTCACGAAGCCTTTTCTTTTTTTTATTATGATATGATAAGTACCCGACAAAGATTCCATCGCTTCGGGAGCACCACCGACGATAAGAATTGTAGCTTTTCCTGTACATGGGCTTTTCGGTGGTGTTAACAGTAAATACTTAATACTTCTCGCATTAGAAGCGCAAAAACCTGTATATTTCAAGTTATCATTGTTATAGTCTTATCTCGCAAAGTGCATAGTGTGATAAACACTAATTATCGTTTCATTTACATGTTAAATATCTCTTTTGGATCATCCGCGCGTAAATTATTGTTACAATAGATAATGTCAAACTGTTCCTTGTTAATGAACGTTTAAAGCAATCTTCTTTTCATATAAGAAATATACAACATATCTTATTATTTCTTGATGTAATATTCCTACTTATGTAAATGTATCTATGTACATTGCATAGATATTCACGCAAAACAATATTTTGCTGCTCCAGCTAGAATCATAGCTGTTTTTTGTATCTAATAGAAAATTATGTATCATACGCATAGGATTTATAGCACAAATCTAAATTCTATCTCTGTCATATATATGATGCAATACATATCTAATATCGCAGTACTTGCTAGAAATTTATCTGTCCTAGCTATTTTTCGTACTTAGATAATTTTCGCTGTAACTGCAAGATCACTTTTTTGAGTGTTGAAAGCATTCTCTGTACTATTACATTATTAAAATTCACCTATTATAAAAATAAGGAAATCTTAATAAAAGTTAGAATGTCTAGAGAAGAGAGAGAAAGAAAGAGAGAGATAGAGAGAGAGGGGAGGGAGACAGAGGGACAGAGTATATCTAATAGTTTTTACTCGTAGAATAAATATATTCTCTTAAAAAAAAGTGTTTTGAAATGTTGATCAAGAGTGACTAAACGTATTTCTAATCCAAGAAATGCAAGAAATGTTTTCTTGCATTTTAATACGTCTATTGCGAATGAACCAAACATCCCCACCGAGAAAATGCCATGAAGTACACTAATAAAAAAATAAGCTTCTTTGGGATCTAGATCTACTATTTTCACTAATTTTAACGGAAAATAACTGCAAAAATTATGCCAAAACGCATTATTTCTCGTCCAGCTTGTCTAAAATTCACTGAAAAATATAAGATACATTTTTTTTAAACATTAATGGTTATTATCAATACAATTAATGATTATCATCTTAAAGAGTTTTTATCGCGATTAAAATTATTTTGTAATGTAAGATTTAATAAATATTTCTGTACAATACAGAAGCTTGCTGCAACATTCATACAATGTTATCGGAACATTATTGGAATATTGCAATGTTGCTGCAATAAAATGATTTATATGTATTATAACAGACTTTTTATTCATTTATTGTGTTGCATGGAGTAGGAATTGGCTACATTTAGTAGTAAAAACTGATCATAAGTGCTCAGTGATGTTTTAATATGAATGGTTCTTGCCTGTAGTTCTTTGCCGAATCTAAGTGTAAGAATTGTCTTCAAGCGATTGTCAAAATTTTTATTTATCTACAATTACTTTAATAAAAATGAATAAAATTGCTGTACCTTCTACCGCCACGATAGCGAGTGTTCCAATCATAATACATCCAAAAGAAATACAATACCATGACATAACGTATCGTTTCCGTGTAGAGTAGGAGATAAACCGTGATTAAACATGCCCCCAAAGGACCGAAAATGTAAGCAATTATCCATCGCTAACAGCTAATGTTTGCAGCCTTTTTTCTAGAGGTATATTTAACGGTGCAAATTTCACGCCTAAAATTTCCATGTTCCTCGCTAAATCTCCGTACAAAATCCAATTTTTATCACAGAGATCTAATCTTTTTTTAGCTTGTATATTATATTTTACCTGTAGGAATAAATTTTTATATAACTGGAAGTCATATTAATTTCTTTTTTAAGATAAATCATATGCTGATTTGGTTGAATCGCAAATTAACATTTCATCAAATAACTCTATTTCTTATCTCCCCATACAATTTGTTATCTCCCCGTACAAAAATATCGACCTTGTAAAATAGAGACCAGGAACAAAAGTAATATTTTGAATTTAAGATCTTATAATATCTAAAATATCTATGTAAAAAAAATCTTTAGACATATAATTTATTTGACTATAAAATTTTCTTATGTTAAACTTTCTAATGTAATTGGGAAAAAATATTTTATGATTTGTAGTAAATTTTTTAAATGGGTATCTGGATAAAATTTAATTGAAAAATATGTAAATTATCAACATTAATAATTGCTAAAACTAAATGTTAAAAAAAATTGGAAAGAATAAAGGCAATAGGAGTCAGGGGCGCAGAAGACGTCGCGCAAATAATACACCCATAAAGCGCAAAACTTCCCCATTCTACTAAACGCGCTTGTTTCGGCGCTACATGTTTCGGCTCACGTTTTAACCTTCTTCAGAGACAACACAAACTAACATATATAAACTGTGAATAAAAGTTATCCTGTCAAGCTCCCCTACATCGAGAATACAAATGCCAGAAATTAAAATAAGAATGAAAGAAAAAGAAAAAAGATGTGGCGGCTCGCCCCCAGAGGTCTCACGGGGCTCGTGCGGATTCTCGTAAGCACCCCAGTTACACGAATTCCGTTTAAATAGGATCTCGATCTAATACTTTCTCGGGCGTCTAAGGCAGGTCCCACTACATCGCCTTACTGAGTCCAGTAGTGGGGACCAGGACGAAACTCCGCGGTCGATCATACTTCGAATCGACCACGATCCGTCATTCATTTTTCCGGCCTAACTAATTCAATGATACTTCCGTCACAAAGAAAAGAAATAATCAAAATAGAGAGAATATGGAAAACTAAGTTATCAAAAAACTTTAAGATTATAAATCAATAGGTAATAGGGCTACGAGTCAAGGTTAATACGTGTGATCAGATTTAAATAGAAATAAAGATAACATAAACATACAATAACTTTAATCTAAATGCCGGCAATGATAACAAACGTTTCGATCCGCATCGGATCCTTCTCAATGTTAAAGTTGAATACAAAGGAAAATTATTGTTAAAAAATAATATTAATTTAAGATTATAATTAATTATCCCGAAAATAAGGACGCTCACCGTGATCACAAAGAACCATATCGCAAATTACTATTAATAATATATCAAAAACCGGTTCTTGGCCAGTCAATATCTGACACAGTGAGTCACTTTTAGAAGTTTTAACTAATATTTTTCGAAATTACAAATGGGAAAATCTAACGTTAAAACGTTAATCAATTCCAAGAAAATGAAAATTGGAAAATAATCAAAAATCACGACAGAAAGACTCATTACTGTGTACGAGCGACACTGACTAAATGTTAAGCTATTACATTATACTTTTTTCCTATAATATAAGAAAAATAAATTGAAACTTACTTGAGGAATGAAGATAGTAACTCCTGTGCTTCTGCATACGTGTACGTTTCGCGATATTTAGCAGAAAATTAGGGGACAAATATCGATTTGTCCAGCAGATGTCACAGCTACATACACATACCAATATATCATAGTTTCAAAAATATTTAGATGTCATACAAATGTATTCTCTTACTTTTGTCCTTAGTCTACCTTACTTCAGTTAATACATGTTCTTCACGGTCACACACATAATTTGCTCAATTTATCATCCATGAATACTTTCACATATTCGTATTTACGGATTAATATTTTATACAACAGATGTGACTATGATAACGAAACTGCTATTTAATTATTTAGTATGTTCGATGAATAGATACATTCAATATTCGAATACATGAATGAATAATGAATATGAATACGAATTTAAATACGACTTTTTGTATTGAATAAATATCTTTTATGAATATGATAATAAATCTTTTCAATTTTGCATTTATTCCAATTCTGTCATCATAACAACACTATTCGATATATTCCGAATAGCGAATTTGATTGGACGCATTCGATGCGCACTGATGCATATTAAAGCCGTCGTGCACAAATTTAGGCGTAAAGATGTGTTTAATATATTAGGTATACAAGTATGACTTTACGGATTTTTTGATAAAAAAAAACGCATTGATTAGACACAATATAAAAATCATTCTTATTCAAAGTATGCTCCATCGGAAGCCACAACCTCGATCCATCTTTCAGGCAATAAATGGATTCCACGCTGGATGTTTTGAAGCGATCCAGTTATCAAGCCAATTTTTTATTTCTTCATAAAAGGCTTTCCATGCTCTTTATCATCCAAATCAAAATTATTGTTTCTGAATCATTTAAACCATTTTTCACACATGCTTATCGATGGAGCATATTTTTTGTAAGCTTCCACAAGCAAACGATGACTTTCAGCTGCACTTTTCTTTAGAAAAAAATAATGAAGTAAAACTTCTCGCAAATGGAGTTTTTCTGGTACTAAATTTGGCATTTTCAATGCGATAAAAATAATAGTTGTTTACACTTTAGTCAAATGA